AAAAGATCCTGTCCCCAGGAGGCCCCCAGTTGCCTGCACCCTGATAGGCTGCATTCTCCTACAGGAACCTACAACTCTTGGTGTTCTCCCCTACTGCTTCCCGCCTCAGATAACAGCTTCAGCCCTAGGGAAGACACAGGTCCCACACCATCTCATTGTGTTTCCTGAACTCTGCCTACATCTTGGTAATAGCTCCCGTGTGAAGCTCTTCCCGCCAGGGCTGCGCGCACCTGTGCGTGAGTGTGTGTGTGTGACTGATGGGTGTTAGTTCAGACAAGCTGGAACACATCATGCGTGAGGAAATGACACAAGCTGTAAGAACAGGAGGCTGTGAAAAGATGGAGGTAGGAGTGAGTCCCGCGAGAACAAGAGCCTAGGAAAAGTGACACAGTTTAAGAAGACCAATTTGGTAGTAGCATGGAATGACTTAAACAAGGGAGGTGGAGCGATTAGAGTTAGATTACAAGAAGACCCAGAAGTCTGGTAGCAGACCGTGCAGCTGGAAATTGACAACCCCCCGGCATTCTACTGATGTCATATTCTAGATGCTCATAGCCTGTTAATGCAGTGATTTCCGTCCTAGGTACTTAGCCTAGAGACAGAGCGGCACATTGCTGAATCATTCTTACACATGGCTATTAATTGACAACTTTTTTGTTTACTTTCAAGACAGGGTTTCTCTGTGTAGCCTTGGCTGTCCTGGAACTCGTTTTGTAGACCAGGGTAGCCTCAAACTCAGAGATCCACCTGCTTCTGCTCCCCAAGGACTGGAATTAAAGGCGTGTGCCACTGTAACCCTGATGGTCACCTGTAAGATATGGGTGTCTTTGGTAGTGCATGTGGCGCTGTTGACAAACTTTATTGTTCATTAGACACTGATTAAGTAACCGGGGGGTTCCCTGTGCAAACGAACACTGCATAATCATTAAAGAGCAAGATCCCACTCCCTACACTCACGAGAGACCTCCCAGTATATCCGCCACAAGACCAGGGGCGTGCTTCCACTAGGACTCAGGAAGAGAAAGCTATTCAGTGTAGCATGTTTATAAATGTATAGACAAAATAAAAAACCAGAGGGAGATTAATTTTACACTAATCCTTTCCCCCCCTTTTATTGTATGTCTATGGGCGGTTTGCCTACATGTAAGCCTGCGCACTCTTGCAGACAGTGCCCAGGGAAGCCAGAAGAGGGCGTCAACACCACCCGTCCCCCCAGAACTGGAGTTACAGATTGTTGTAAACTGCCCCGAGGGTGCTGGGGATCCAGACTCTTGAAGAAAGACTGGAGATGCTTTTTTTCAAACTGTTCTGGTGGGGTTTGCAGTCAGGTGTGAGTAGGTGGCAGGAGGTCTGGGGGTCACTCAGAGAGGCAAGGAGGGCTTGCTGAGCAGGGACAGCTCAGCCAAGACAGCCAGCACTAACGGCTCTGTCATTCTGAGGTCTATTACACTTGCTGGTTTGTGGCTAGGTGTGTTGGTAGATACTTCTAATAGCATTGCTGGGGAGGTTGAGGCAGGGAGATCAGGAGTTCCAGGATAGCCTGGGCTATACATGAAACCATCTGAAGGAAAAATAAGCTAAAAACTAAATGACGTTTCTAAGATCTAAGGGACCTCAAGGCATTTAGTGGATTTGGTGTGAGCTCTCCGTTGCCTGCTATGTGAAGGCCTTCCCATCCTAGTTTCTATCACAGAACCTGCGGTCTTTGTGACTAGACTGGCTGGCCATCAGTGCCATGAGCCCCCTGATCCTCCTGTCTCCACCTCCCAGCACTGGGTTTAAAGGAAAAGGACTAGAAAGGGTTCTGAACTCAGGTCTTCAAGCTTGCTTATCAGGCTCTCTCCACACTGAGCCATCTCCCCAGCCCCAATATTTTATTTATACTTGTGTCTTTTTTTCCTAGTGGTAATGGAGATCAAATCCAACCTACACAAAGACTTACCAAATGCCAGGATTTTTCTAAATTAAGTGAGCCTTTCTGTAAAAATGAGCAATCTTCAAGGCCATTAGTGTCCCCTACTGGCAGGGTGCTTCCTGCAGTATAGCAGCTTGATGACCTGACTCGGTGCAGATCCTGACTAGTATTCCACTCCAAGGCTAGTGGGAAAGAAAACCTGGCTTCTGTCTGAGTGACCTGTGCTCCGTCCCACCGGCTTTTGTCACCCTGTCCAATTTCGCTTATCCTCTTGGAGTAAGACATAACATTTTACATACTTTAAACATAAGTGTGTAAGGTATTTCTAGTATCTTAATCCTTGAGGTATAAAAATTTAAAAATAAAAGGCATGTTAGAATCTAAAAAGCATGACCTAAAACTAAGTTTCAGGTCAAGTATGATGGTGCACTGGAGAGACAGGCAGGTAATCTGTGAGGACAGCAAGAGTCAGGCCCAGGGCTGCATAGTGAGACAACCAAAGCTTTACATCTAAGAATGCTGGGCCGTGGTTTCTAGAGAAGACAGGCTGTACTGGAGGGTATTAGAGCAAAATGAGTGGGGAAATTAAATCTCGGCAGGATGTTTCCCTCCACTAGCAGCGTAGGACTGAGAACTGAATTTGGCCTAGATTCAGAAGCCTTCCTTCAGACTCCATGCTCAGTACGCACCGTCAGCATGCTGTTAAGTGGGGTCCCACTGGGAGCGTAGCCTCAAACTCCAAAATCCTGGGAAGTAGGAGACTGAAGTGTGAGGCTCCCTATGTTCTGAGGCCAGATTACAGAGTAAGATCCAGATCAGCATGGGAGCTGGCCTTTAAGAAAATATAGGGTTGGGACTGGAGAGATGGCTCAGTGGTTAAGAGTACTGGCTGCCCTTCCAGAGGTCCTGAGTTCAATTCCCAGCAACCACATGGTGGCTCACAACCATCTGTAATGAGGTCTGGTGCCCTCTTCTGGCCTGCAGGCATACACACAGACAGAATATTGTATACATAATAAATATTTAAAAAAAGGGGGGGGTCCATATTAGTCTCAAATTCCAGCAGTTTATCATGTGAGCTGTGACCTTATGCCAATCACATGCTTTCTCATGTAAAACATGGTGCCAACAGTAGACTGTGAGAGTTCAGTAATGTAAGCGTACAAAATATATGTGAGTTTTGGTGTGGAGTCAGAGGCATTAACACGGAAATCTGTGAGTTCGACACCAGCCAGGGCTGCAAAAAGGGAAAAGGAAGATGGGGGTGGGGATGCACACGTAGTGACTATCTCAGTCTTACAGCCAGAAGGTTCATATGCCTCCTGGAGTCCATTCAAAACCTCAGACCTAGCACAGCACTGGATTCCAAAGTCCAGGAAGGAGTCTTAAAAGCCCGCAGAAAAACACACAGGGCAAAGCGTGAGGGAAAAGGTCAGCTCTGTTAATGGAGCTTGTGCAGGCTTGCCACTTCCATTTCAAACTGTGCCCTAACGGAGCTCTCCTGACACCCCTATTATTTATTGAAGACCTACTTTATCACGCTCTGTGGTCAACCATAAGAACGGCAAATCCCTCAAAGCCTAACCGTTCTTCCCCTCCTTCTTCAAACCGTCACACTCAAAGGCAGGCAAGCAAGTGTCATCGAAGTAGCAAGAGCCCCTGTCGGCTGTCATGAATTTAATGGAACTCACAAGGAGGGGAGGTTCAACCGTTTCAAGCCCCTCATACCGCAAACATAAACAATGTGACGACATTAAGGAAACTGAACGGGATCTCTCTGAGCGTGGCCCGTGCTCAGTCCCACTGGATGTCCCGGTCCTCTTCAGGGAGAATACTCCAGTTCGGAGAGGCCACGTTTCGGGCCAGCCAGTTGAAATCGTCTATGTGGTTCCAGTTATTTCTGCCTCTATCTAAACCGGAGTCCTGGAAGTCCTTGTCGATCCCCTGGTAGCTCCAGGTGTACGGGGCGAACTGGATGCCGCTGCAGTCCTCCACGATGGCCCTGCTGGTTACCTGCAGGAAGATGCGCGTGTCTTTGGTGGTGTGTACGCGGAGCTGTTGGCAAGCTACGGCCAGTACGCAATCACAACAGTCCTCCAGGAACACCGAGGTGGACACCGGGCCGCAGAGGACCTTGCAGCCGCGGGCCTTTGCCAGCCGCAGGGTGTTGGGGTTGCCACGTAGTCTAACAGTGCAGTTGGTCAGGTCGCTCAAAAGGATGTCGCGCTGGTGCAGCTCGTCGGCGTTCTTCTCCAAATCTTGGGACTCCAGGTTGGAGAAGCCACAGGCCCAACTGAGGCCGGGAGCTCCCTCCTCCGTGGCCAAGGGCGGCGAAGGGGCCGCCGAAGCGCCGGGTGCGGCGTCTACCTGGGTGGCCCCAGCAGCAACCTTCTTCCGCGCCTTGAAGGCGAAGCGCTTCTTGGGCTGCAGCTCCTGGCGCCGCTCGGCGAGGGCCGTCTGCAGCTGCGCCAGCGCCGCCTGGCCCTGCCGCAGATCGTAGGGCGCCAGGAAGAGAACCGAGTCGTTCAGGAGCTTCCGCAGCCCCTGCAGTCGGTTGGCCGCCTCTTCCAGCCGCTCGGCCGACGCCTCGCCCCGCAGCAGCTCCTCGGCCGCCGCGCGCTCACAAGCGAAGGTGGCGGCGAAGAAGCCGCTCTTCTCCTCCTCCACCTCCTGGTCCTGCCGCTTCTGCTTGCGCCTCTCCACCTCCATCTGCCGCTCCTGCTCGCGCCTCTGAATTCGCTCCGGCACCAGGCTCAGGTCCCGCGGGGACCCAGCGGCCGCGTCGCCCAGAGCCGCGGGGCAGCCCACACCCTCCATCATGACTCCAGGCTTCCTCACCCGCCGCCTTTCTTCCCGGCGCCCTCCGCAAGGCCTCCCACCAAGGCGCCCCGTGATTGGTCGACCGCGGTGACGTCAGGTCCCGCCGTATCCTCTTCGCCTATTGGTTTCTCCGCGCTGGAGGGGCGGGGACGAGGGCGGGGCTGTTGACAGGAGGGGGTGGGGAGACAAAGGTCCTGGTGGATGGGTGGGGTGGGAGGCAAACGGGTGAAGCTTTTTTTTCTTCTTAAAGGGGCAGGACTTATATCCGGGATTGTGGGGTGAGTTGCAGCAGCGGTAGCTGCACATGTGGGTTTGTTTATAAGAACAAGGTTAGAAACTCGCAGGCCTCCCCCTCCCCCCAGCTCCTCCCTACTACCCCCTAACAGGCCAGAGATCTGCTCCAGGGTGGTGGGGAGGAATGTGTGCTTGTCGTGGTGGTGGGGACAGGTAGTGCGAGAAAGATGGAGGGGGGTGTTATTGCACCTCCCGGGCCGCGCCGGAGGAAGCTGCAGCTGGAACAGCTGGCCAGGGAGCCGCTTGCATGCCTCTGGTTTTTTCTTCTTTTTTTTTTCTTCTTCCCCTTTTCCCTTCCATCACCTCTTTGCTCAGCCGGTCCCTGCCGCCTCGGTAACCCTCATCCTTCCTGCCCTCCCCCAACCACTGCAGCTCCGCGCGGCCTGGGGGCGCCTGGGTCCCCGTGGGCAGTTTATTGGGGCGGGAAGCTGGCGCGAAGCCCCGCTATAAGAGAAACTGAGTTCCTCGCTGGAGCGGGTTCCGGGGTTCCTGGAGGAGACTAAAAACAGATTATTATTATTATTATTTATTTTTGGCCCACTCCTGCAGTCGGAGGGGGGCGGGGGAGGATGACATGCCACCCCCAACCCTTTCTCCCCAGTGCGGTGGCAGCCACTCCCTGCGCAGCCGCGGCCTATGGCCGCGCGGGGCTAAGACCCCAGGCCGGGCGCGACGCCTCTCTCTATAGGGCCGACCGTCTTTAGGAGGGCGATGGGGAAACGGTACATTATTTCTAGAGGTGGTGGGAGGGATTTGTCACCGGAAGTGAACGAGCCTAGCCTAAAGTCCGGACCAACCCGAGGTGCGAGTGGGCAGCCAAGACCGCGCAGTCCCTGGCAGAAGCCCAAGGCGGCCGCTGACAAGCACCCGGGTGGCGTCCTCGTAGGCTGTCTTCAGCCACGAGGCCTTCTGGACCCGGGCAGCCCATGCCGTCTTCGATTTCAGCCCCATCTCCATCCTGATTGCCAACCTCCATTTTTGTTCTTTTAGTTGGGATTTTTTTCTTAACTGCCAAAAAACCTCACTCGAAATTTAACCCATATACCTGCGTTTTCTGCAGAAAAAGATGGGAGGAAACGAGAACCATTCAATTAGTTGGAATTAAGAATTGAGTTCCAAATCTTCACGACCCACTCGCCTCCTTTCCTAACCATTAAAAACAAAACAAAACAATCCAAACCTCAAGCACAAATTCTTGATTGAAAAGAGTGCATTCCTCTACTGAGTCCAGACAGGTGTCACTGGGTGGCAAATTCCCTGCGAGGTGGAGGGCGGGAAGGGGAGTCGTGTTCGCGTGTTCATATCTGTGCACCTGATGTACCCATGCGCCCACAGAAAAGATAGGTCGATGGTCACTTAGGTTGGCCTTCTTTATGTTAGTTTTGCTTCCTGTTTTCTACTTTATTTTTTAAAGTAGTTTTATTTCACAAAAGTGTGAATTTGAGACTATTGAAATTTAGCTGATGGCTTTGTTCATATTTCCTAGAGGAATGTAATAGCTGTTTTCTTTCGTGATAGATGTGGGGGCGGGTATTTATATTTTATGTCTATGAGTGTTTTGTGTGCACCATGAGTGTGCCATGTTCATGGAGGCCAGAAGAGGGCATCCGATCCCTGGAACTGGAGTTACAGACAGTTAATGCGCTGCTTTGTAGGTAACCACTGATCCATCTCTCCAGCCCCGTTGAAAGATTTCACCTACCCAGATTAAAAGAAGACTGATTTTGCTACTGGAAACAGCAACAACCCAGACTTGCTTTGCTTAGGTCTCCCGTTCTAATTAAGAAAGCTGGTGGTGAAAGGTTCCTTGAGCTAGGAGTTGGGGCTGTCAGCTATGGTGAGTCTGTTAGTGGTTCGAAGTGTGGACTTTATGCAAATAGGAGTCAGTGTTCTCAGGGTCGTCTTTCTGCTGTCTACCTGACGGAAGGTGACAGAAATTGCCTGTGGTTTAGCTTAACGTTTAAGCAGAAAGGACAGAGATGGATGGTCCTGCAACTGACTCGGTATTTCGGGGACAGTTTGTAGAGACTAGTGTGAGGCCTGAAAGGGACCGACTTGGGGCTGCCTTGGAGCACTGGGGTGAGGTTTTCTATCCTCGGGCTGGAGTAGGTGGCCAAGGCAGTTGTCAAGCTATGTGTCTGATTTCTGAGTTAAAAGCCATAGGAAGGCTGCTAAATGCTGGCATTGCCAGACCATGTTGCTCCTCGTTCTAATGTGTGAGGGCGGTGGATTGAGAGTGCGTTCCTGACAGAATCCAGCTCCACAGAGGTAAGTGGCCACCCTATTGGAAGGAGGGGCGGTGTGCAGGAGGACAAAAAAAAAAATTCGGGGAGGCTGCCGAATCTTGCCCACGTCTTCCAAAGTGAATGGAGACTGTAGAAGCCCTGGCTGTCCTTGGAACTCGCTCTGTAGCCTAGGCTGGCCTCAAGCTCACAGAGATCCACCTGCCTCTGCTTCTTGAGTGCTGGGATTAAAGGCGTGCGCTACCACTACTTGGTGGACTTTAACTTTTCTTTATTTACGAGGGGGTGGAACACACACAGGTACACACCTCACCGCAGGTGTAGAGGTCAGAGGGCAGCTTTCAGGAATTGGTTCTTTCTACCTTCATGCAGGCTCAGGCTTTAGGTAAATATTTCACCAGTTCAGCAAGCTTGTCTGCCCAGCCTTAGCGTATACTTAACAGTGGTTTGGATATTTTATGGTTCTCAATGTTGGGTTTACTTTTTTGTTTTATAGATCTCTTTTCTTTCTTCTTATGTACACGATTGTTTGGCCTGTGTCTATGTGCACCAGGAGAGGGTGGCGTTACTGAGCCACTGTGTGGGTGCTGGGCATTGAACCCAGGTCCCTGTAAGAGCAGCGTGTACTATAACCACTGAGCCATCTCTCCAGTTCCTATTTGATCTTTTAATGCCTTAAAAAGTAAATCTTATACCAGGTTGGTGGTTCATGCTTGTAACCTCAGCATTCCGGAAGCAGAAGCAGTAGGATCAATAATTACTGCTAGCCTGGGCTACATAGCAAGATCCTGTGTTTAAAGAAGAAAAGGAAAATCTCATATTTGTAGTATATGCCTTGGGAAATAAGCAAACGGTGAAACACTGAATGAAAGGACTGAAAGGCCTGTGCCTGGACTGCACAGGAACGCGACCTCCTGCTGTGCAGTGGGGTTTGTCAGGGGTGCTGCGCAAAGGGCAGAAGCCAGATGCACCAAGGTGCACCTGAACCCTGCTTTCTAATGGTCTGTAGCCAGAGGGGACATTTGCCTGCTCATCTGTCAGCGAGCAAGCTGTGCGCGTGCATGGCTTGTGAAGTGTTCGCTGAAGAGATCTGTTCCTCTCTTATCGGAGGGGAGGCCAGTTTTCCCACCTCTAATGCTGACTTTTTTGGCACAGGGACAGTGAAGGACAGCTGTGAGAGTTTGTCCTGTTCTTAAAAGGCTCCATACTTATCGGGAGGCCTGGCAGCCGCTTCCTTCTGCTGCTTCTCCTAGCTCTTTCCTCCCCCTCAACACTATTACACTAAGAAACTTTTCCCATTGTGTCTTCGGAAGACACTGCTCTCTTGCCTTATCTAGTGCCTGCTTATCAGAACTGACTGTGCTAGAGTGGAGAAAGGGTTTGCCAAGCAAGCCCAATGACAACTGAGTTGATCTCAGAAACCCATGCAGTGGTAGGAGACACACGCCATAGATTTGTCCTGTTATCAGACTTGATGGCAGGTGCCTTTGCCCACCACCGTGTCACCAGCTCCCCCCGTTTTGGGGACTGTGTTTCAGACACACTAAGGAGCCCATGAGCTTCCAGGGCAGTTTTCCTGTCTCCACCTTCTGCCTAACCTTGCCAGTGCAAACTACCATGTCCGACTTTTTGTAGATTCAGGGATATACGCCAGTGCCTCTCTCCGCCAAGCCTCCTCGCTGAGCCCGACGCTCTGTGTGACCTGAAGTAATCTGCGACTGCTGCTCTCGCTTTGGCTTGCACGTCCCTGATCTGTCTGTCTCCTTCACAGACTTCCTCTCCTTCCTGTAGACATCTGCAGGGGAATACAGGATTCCACTCTATGTTCTGTACCTCTTCTTGTCTGTCTTGCCTTCCCATTTGGCAAGCTTACTTTTTCCAGGGACTTAAGCCCTTTTCAAGTACTAAGATTTGAATCAAGTCAGTGGCTCCTGCGCTCAAGCGGTCAGCATTGCCTGTCTAATCCCAATGCCACGTCTTCTTGTGCTACCACCACAGACAGGACATCAGAGTCATCCGCAGCACGTCCCTCTCTCACGGCTCCAACTGCAAACACTGCAAACACGGTGCATCTTATCTCGGGCCCCTGTCAGGTTCTGTCTCTCTCTACCTCTCTGTTCTGGCTCCCTCTCCCCTTCTGGTGCCTTAGCTCCCTCTGGTCTTCCCTGTGCTGCCCTAAGTGCCTGCGGTCGTCCATGCTAATGCAAGCTGATCGAGTCACTCTCCTTAGACCTCCCCTGGCTGATTGTTCACTGTGTCCAGCCTCCTTGTGTGGCCACAAGGCCTTTCATAAGCATGGGCAGTATGCCTCCCCAGCCTCATTTCCCACCATTGCCCCTAACCACACTGTCACCCTCCTTGGCCAGCTCTCCACATCTGTCTGTATACCTCTGAGTATCCTGTTGTACTTTTTAACTCATTGCTGGCTGTACTGGCCACCCTGCTAGGCATGCAGGCATAGGGGAACGCGGAGGCAGGTCTCCTGTCGAGCATGTGGCTAAGAGAAGACTGGAGTCAGTGCGGGGTGAAGGGCTAGCTGGGTGAGAGGAGGAACAGTTGTCTACTCCTCTGCCTCTTCGCTGGTGGCAAATATTTCATTCCAGTGCTGGGTGCTGGGAACATAGCAGTGGACAAGAGAGGTCAGGAAGTCTGGCTTCATGGCCAGAAGTGGACAGCGTTAGTGTTCCTAGCAACAGACAGCAAGTGCAGGGAACTCGTATCTGCGGGAAAGACGAGCCAGT